GGAAACCCCCCAGTGAGAATCTATTTTTATAGTCTGCGCGTGCGCAGTAGGAGTTTGGGTGAGTTGCGCATGCGTATTTGCTACCAAAATAATGGCGGTTCGAGTATTTCAAAGCGCGAAAATATCAAACTTTGGAGGGATTTTTCTCCCAATTGTGCACCTGTTTCGCTTGGGGAGCAACGGATTCTGATAAAGTAAGTTTTTATCTATTTATTCATGTGAAAATCACGTAGTTACACGAGGGGTGCAACGGAATTGCATCTTTTGGATGCTCATCCTACGGCCTATAAGGGGTTGTTTACATGATCCCAGTAGCTGTTTACATGATAATTTCATAAAAATACTAGACTATGTCTATTATTTCTATGGATAATTTTGATGTATTGAAATAAATGACTGGGTTTAAACGAAAGTTCAAACGCTGGTTAAAAGAACTCAAATGTTGTCGAGAAATCGATTATACTACAATCTATCACTAGAAAAATAATGCAGTTTTACTAACTGGGACTCATTTCAATACATCAAAATTTTCCCGCCTCATATCTCGTCCGGAAACGCTGGAATTTTTATTAACCGGTACCTTTCTAACCACGGCAGCATGAATATAGCTGTTTTTATATTAAGAGAAGTTCACTGAACATGCGCTATACACTAAGAAATGCAACCATGGTCATGAAAAGGCACTGAAATAAAAATAAAAGGCCTATAGGTTTAGGCTAGTCGTAGAAAGACTCATCTAGCCGCATATATAGGGGACGTAGGAAATGAAAAGATTGAAAACCGTTGTTGTTTTATCTCTACAACGAAACACACACCAAACAGGGCTCAGGGAAGTCACTGGTATTTATTTATGACAACAATACAGATCTCTGGCAGCTCATTTCCATCCCGATGGCCGGTTTTCACTAAGATAAGTGGCTCTTCATCTTATTTTCACTTGAGATTAAACGAATAAATGATCAGAAAGAAACTGCCCGTCTTTTTCAAGAGGTTGGTGTACAATGGTACTAATATACAAATTAATGATGTTTGGGTGTATTAGTGTCGTCTAATCCCACCTTTAACAAGGTTTTTAATGTTGTTTCTTGGGACTAGACAATGCGATGCGTTATCCGGAAACAATTAATTTATGACGTCATAATTAGACTCGAGTTCGTGCGAACATCACATGGCAACCCAAAAACGACAAGCATGCACGACCGCAGAAAGAAGAAAAAAGTTAGCGATTTTTGCCACATTATGCGCTGTAGCTGTTCTTGTCATCATTTTAGTGGTTGTCCTTCTGACAGTGTTAAAATCTGAAAATGATGAAGAAGAGGAACATACATTTGGTAGGTAGTGCGCGCGATCGCTGGTACAAAACCTGCGCTGTTGTCACTAGAAGGTTACGTTACTAACGTATTTTTGTAACGAGCCTGTCTAAACTGCGTTGTTGATTAATATAAGATTAAAACCTTTCATATATATATGCTTGTGACAAACATGAAAGTGTTCTACAGTATAAGCAAATGAGCCGGAACATCGTTCTTTTGTGAACGTGATCGACCTCAGATGCAAACGACGCTGCAAGCCGTGCATAAATAAGAAAAAGAGAAAGCAGCCTTCAAGCATGTATTGTTGCTATACGTGTATAAAGTGGGTAGTTGTAGTTCGACAGACCAAATCTGAACACAGATCTCTTATATTCCAGTTACTGGTCATGATAAGTAATAAGTTGAAAATATAAAAAATATCATCAAAATTTCAAGCCACAATAGTCTTAATTCAACAAATTATTTTAACAATAAGTATTTGCCATAATTATAACTAGGAAGGCAGTTAAAGACCCGGGCAAACTAGGAAACACTGTTGCGGAAACATCTGGAGATCTTGATGTTCCCACAATGTATCCATGCATGTTTACTTGTCAACCCTCGAGAGTATTGTTGCAGAAATAAAATTTCCCTTTTGCGATTAAATGAATTAAATGCAACATCGTTTTCTTTCTCAAATGCAATTTGTCTCACAAACATTATACACCGATTAGCTTATGAGGTTATTTAATTTATTCTACTGGAAATGCTGGTTTATATGACAAATGTTTTCTGGCTAAGTGAACACGGTGTGTTCATAGTTGTATGCCTGGTTGTATAAAACAATATGTGAGATTTTTACACGTACATTTGTATTGTTTTAGTTCGCGTGTTTACAAACCTTGGTAGAGTAGGACATAAAGGGCCTACAGACACAGATGAATATCGCGGGACTGTGCTGGAAAAAGAAGTTGAAGTTGTAGACGGTATTCAACTCTGGAACGTACCATTTTCCGGTGTATGGTACCTAGAGGTCTACGGCGCGTCTGGCGGGGACGGCTTGTATTCAGGTCACAACGGTCGTCTGGAAGGTGGACTAGGAGCAAAGCTGACTGGAAAGTTGAAGCTTGACAAGGGAACAGTGTTCAAGATTTTGGTTGGTCAACAAGGTGAAAGAGATCATTTAACACACTTCCGTGCTGGCTCTGGTGGTGGTGCCACTTTTGTTGTGTCACGTGATGATAAACCAATCATGGTTGCTGGTGGCGGCGGTGGAGGTGGTGTTCCCAAGCTTGGTAAGTGGAGACTTTTATGATAAGCTGCAAGTTGCAAAGCAATCTCTAAACATGGAAACAATAGGCAAGTCTTCGCAGAGATTTAAGTGAAATTTTAGGAAATGGGAACTTCCTTGCTGTGAAAATGCCATAAGTTCATTGTAAAAGCTTAAGAGGCAGTCCGTGTAAAAACCGACCACTCGAATTTCTTAAGATTACAGATTTCCTTCAAACTTTCTGTGTGGAAGAAGTCATTCATAAAATGAACAAAAAACATTGACTTGGAAATTGTAGTCAGTTTTAAAAATTTTTTCGCAATTATTTTCGGACGCGTTCGAAAACAAGTTAAAACGTTAATTACGCAAGTGATATTTGAGCTGTTTTATATCTCACAGTTCATCTCGCGCTTTTATTCTAACTTCTTGAAACTTACATATTTTATTATTGCCTGCCTAGGCATAAACCTAAACTAAAAATTATCCTGATCACTTGAAGCAAACAAAATATTGTGTATTTTTAAAAACGTCTTTCAGACAGCGGATTAAATATTCGTGTTAGTATGCTGGCGGTAAATTATTTTTTCTCAAAAGTGCAACGGTATCAGGTATCCAATCTATTGCAGCTACTGAGTATTATGACACATCTACTAGAATAAATAATAAAATCTTTGGGCAGTGTGTTTTTCGCTTGACAAGCGCGTCATGAATATAGTAAATTTTCGCTAATTCGACTAATTATAAGCTATAATTTGTTAATGCATTCACTTAAATTTTTCGCGTTAAAAACATACAAAACTGTTTGCTGTTTCAAATATGGCTCTTTTTGGATAGAGAGGAAGTTATAAGTATGCCAGCAATTATATATGCTTGAAATTTTACGTTTATCGGTATCATTAAATACTACATGCATGGTATATATAAACAAAAATGTATAAGAAAAGTGCGGGAAAGGATATATGTTTAACGGGAAAGGATATATGTTATACATGTTTAATATTTTCATGTTTTTTAAGAACTGCAATTACATGCTGATCTCGGTTAAGGTCCTGTCACACTATTGCGTATGAGAGAAACGTATGAGTAGCGTAAACCATGCATGTGCATGCATATACGTCCGCATACTCGAAAAATTTTTAACCATGCTTAGCTTGCATGGTTCCCCGATTTTTAAATAGACACCTTACGATTTAGGACAGCAACGGCTACAAATACAATAAATAATTAAAAAGAATTCAATAATTGCAATATATGAAAATTTAGACATTGTCCTCGCTTTGTTTACAACGCCAAATCACAGATTTTCACGTCTTGATACAACGGCTGCATTTCAAGCCGCAACAAGTGCAACTTCAAACTGGCTTCAGCAGAACTCTTCCCAAACATAAAACCCATTAAATTCATACGATTGTATTAAATTCATATACGATTGCTAATATACCACGAATTGTCTTTAGGCCACTATTTGCTGTATATTAGTTTCTCATCCCCGCCCGCATGCTTTTTTAAGAAAATGGCCTTGTTCGCCATTTATATTATTTCCATTTTTGACCATTATTATAAATTTTGTGATGTCTTCAAAGTGAAATTTGAAAGAAAGGCAATTAGAAACGTTCCCAAACCAAATGTTATAGTTAACATACAAAATTTAATAACCAAACTGCAAGTTTTTCCCGCATTACGTACACACTTATTAAATATCCAAACTCAGCTATAAAACTCAGTTATGTTACCGGAAGCCAGGGCCAGGGCCGAAAAACGCCAGACGTTCTGGGTACAAAATTATGAAAACATGCTTTCAGTTGCACTTACTGATTTTGTGCTGTTTTCCAGAAAGTTGCTATATAAATGCTTAATGCGCACTTTTCTAAAATAAATTTTATGGGGAGGGGAAATCCAGCAAATAGTGGCATAATGGTATTGGCCCGCCAGCCCGCATCCACTTTAGGAGAAGCCCCGGATGAGAAACTAATATACAACAAATAATGGGCTTTAAAGGAGATTGGCAACAAAAATTGCTTCATCTATCTTATTGCTTCATCTGAAAGAGCATGAAAAAATAAGCCGATTGGCCGTTTAATGCTCTATTCTATCTCATCTAGTTCCGAAGTTATACGCAAAAATGTGCAAAATATAAATTGCTGATTCAGCACAAAGTGTGACGTCATTAGCTGGGTAAGTATGTTTATTGAATACTACACTGAAGCATAGTGTAGTATTCTAATTTTGTTGCGAAGGTAACAATGTCGTTCCCAGGCCCCTTGCGCCAATTTTATAAACAGCTTTATTCAAGGTACTGATAAAAATAAAATAATATCAGAAGTATGTGTACGATACCTATGCATGCCGAAAGTTTACTTGCATGATAATAATTCGAAAATGACATACACATAGAGAAATGCAACTAGTTATTCAAAATCAGTGTAAGAGGCCTGGGAACGACTGTGTTGCCTTGACAACGAAATTAGAAGTATTTTTCCCATGCATCTCATCATGTACTATCTGCATGCAAAATTTCATTTGATTTGAGCTAATAATAACTCAGCTATGCTTTAGTTTACTATTCAATAAACATACTTACCCAGCTTATGACGTCACAGAATGTGCTGAATCAGCAATTTGTATTTTGCACATTTTTGCGTATAACTTCGGAACCAGATGAGATAGAATAGAGCAGTAAACGGCCAATCGGCTTATTTTTTCATGCTCCTTCAGATGAAGCAATAAAATCAATAAAGTTTTTTGTTGCCAATACCCTTTAATACTACCATTTATTTGAGGGAGTTTGTTTTGGCCGTCGTCGTCGCGTTGCCGTCCTAAAATCGTAAGGTCTCTAATAACCCCTCCGTGTGATCGTTAAATCACTTGCCGTTAGATGCCTCTATATATACACCATTTAGTTACTGCTTCGCCCTTTCAGAGAGATTACGACATGCAGTCTTGGTTCATTTATTTGTTTGAGAATAAGTTTCACTTTCACTTAATATATACGCTTACTACATGTTTCGTCGGTTTTAATATAGCCTAATAGCTCAAAGCAACAAGAAAGAAATTCTTTTTTACGGCAAAACGTTTTTGTATACCCAACCATGCATGTATTAAAGTTGATTGGTTATAGATTCTAATTTCGTACCTTGTCTCTCTATGCACATGAGTGCAATATAAATGTATAGTAGTATACTCATAGGCGTACGGGATTCATATATCTATTGGAGGAGCTGTGGTATATATTGCCTGGGGGGATTTTAACCCCCCCCCCCCCAACTTCAACGACTTAAAATTGTAATGATTTTACGATATAAATATATTGTTAAGAAAGCGAAGAAAAACTTGAAATTACGCGTTGACCGACTTCAAGCGATGACGGGGATTACATATGAACCGCTTTTCACGCGAAAAAACATTACTCTCTAATAAATTGTATAATATACTTTCTTCTAATACTCTCCTGTGATAGATGTGTACATTCGGAGGAAATCGATGCATATAGTTTTAGTTACCAAGATCAGTATGTTTACAGTTCATTCATACATGCACTGATAAATAATAAAAAGATAATACCGGCGGATAAAATTAGCAACGCGTGCATGTCAATTTCAGTCGGCACATGCGTCAGGACTTTTGCTTTATGTTATAAAGCTAGCATAAATGCTGGCATATTTATAACTTAGTCTCTATCCAAAAAACAGCCATATTTGAAAGATAGTGAACAATTTTGTATGTTTTTAATGCGAAAAATTTAAGTAAATGCATTAACAAATTATAGCTTATAATTAGTCGAATTAGCGAAAATTGACTATATTCATGACGCACTTGTCTAGTGAAAAACACACTGCCCAAAGATTTTATTATTTATTCTAGTAGATGTGTCATAATACTCAGTAGCTGCAATAGATTGGATACCTGATACCGTTGCACTTTTGAGAAAAAATAATTTACCGCCAGCATACTAACACGAATATTTAGTCCGCTGTCTGAAAGACGTTTTTAAAAATACACAATATTTTGTTTGCTTCAAGTGACCAGCATAATTTTTAGTTTAGGTTTATGCCTAGGCAGGAAATAATAAAATATGTAAGTTTCAAGAAGTTAGAATAAAAGCGCGAGATGAACTGTGAGATATAAAAAGCTCAAATATCACTTGCGTAATTAACGTTTTAACTTGTTTTCGAACGCGTCCGAAAATAATTGCGAAAAAATTTTTAAAACTGACTACAATTTCCAAGTCAACGTTTTTTGTTCATTTTATGAATGACTTCTTCCACACAGAAAGTTTGAAGGAAATCTGTAATCTTAAGAAATTCGAGTGGTCGGTTTTTACACGGACTGCCTCTTAAGGAAGAATATACGCATTTCTTTGGTTTTAGATACATTAGGCCGCATCTTGTTGTGATTGGTCCAGTCATTTATTGTGTTTATATTAGCTTGAATTGATGAATTGGGGGAGGATCTTGAAACCGGATTTCATAAGTGCAACAGTCATCGACATATTTGTACAATAGAATGTTAATTTGCAAGTCGTTTATCATCACAACGAAAAAGAGGGGTCCAAGTTTTGTACCTTGTGGTCTTGTGGAATCCCTGCATTTATTTGTCGCCATGTCTAAAATTAAATTCACCATTTTGTTCTATTTTTAATAACAATATGGCGGATTTTTCGACATTTGTATAGCTATATCTTCCCATAAAATGGTTGTATTTAGAAACAGATTTCAGTTTTAAAGTACCCTTAGTCTGCTTTTCTAAATGGAATTATAAAATCACCAATAGCTTGTTTTTTATATTTTGGCGCCAAGTTTATGAGGTAATTTACCCGCCAAAAAGTATCAATTCCAAAAACAAAAAACATGCGATTTGTAAGAACGATATGTTCTATTTTCATGGAACATTTCGGGTAGAAACAGAATGAAAATTTCAGAAGTTGAAGTATATTGGTGCTTTTGCATGCATTTTTGCATGAAAATTTCAGAAGTTGAAGCATATTGGTTCTAAAATACATCAAGTTCTTTTAACCATACTTAAAGATCAAAATGACTATGTTGACGTGCCCATGATAATTGAAATGTTGCCTAATGTAACCGCGATATAATTTTCAGCTCATCATAACTCTCTTTTTACTTTCAAAAAGAATATATTTGTGTCATGTATAATATTTTTCATTTAAAAATTATCATAGCCAACTGTACTGTACTGTGCCGTATCGTATCGTATCGTATCGTATCGTATTGTATTGTAAAGTTGTATTGTAAAGTTTTATTGTAAAGTTGTGTTGTGTTGTGTTGTGTTGTGTTGTGTTGTGTTGTGTTGTGTTGTGTTGTATTGTATTGTATTGCATTGCATTGTAATGAGTTCACTAACATATACATTATGAGTTCTAATGAGTTTTCAAACCATCTATTCTATTAACTATGGTGGGAGTGAACACTCCAGGCCCCTACTAGCCCGCGTGCAGTCCCAAGGGAACTGATAGTGGGCCTGCAAGCAAGGCCCGGTATTTTGTAAAACGCCCCTTTTCATAACACGCCCCATTCGCGCGTCAATTGTCAAAAAAGAACCAATGACAGCAACCCAAATATTAACAAACAAACTCGCATTAAAATGTTGCGGGTTTTCTCTGCTTTAAATCTTTAATATTCAAAATAGAAACAATGTGTAAAGACTATAAATGCCTGTGTTAAAATTCCAAAAAAGCAAGCAACGCAGTCAGTAATTGCCAAATTTACAAGTGCTCATTTTCAACTAAAATCGGAACAGGCAAATTAAGACGAATTTCAACAGAAACCCAGTCTCAAACTTCAAATCGTGAGGGAAGTCGTGCGACCACATCAGCATTTATAATGTTGCTTCGCTGTCGCCATTGTTATCAATAAATTGTCTCACTTATCAGATCGTGTGTGCAATTCTTGTTGGCGGCGGAAAGTACGAAATTTATTTCAGTTATTTCATTTGGTGAGAACTTTACAAAAGAAGAGTCAGAGTCCAGATCGCTTCGTTTCAAACGGCAATTTAATACCGTCTTCTGTTTTGCTCTCTCAGCGAAGCCTTGTAAATCGCAAAGTATTTTGAATAGGCTTACATGCAACTGCATCTCAACATCAACCAAAAGACAATTTTCTCGAGGAACATATAACGTCTGTTGTCTGTTTGAAATTAATGAAACTCAAGTAAAGGTTACTATAGTTTTATACCCCATTCGTATTAAATGTTGCTATTCCAACACCTCACGACAAGCAATCCTCATTGGCATAACGGCAAAAACATCTCTTCCTTCAAGTAAACAATAAACAGTCTGTTCTTGTTCCATTTGTAATCGAAAAAAGTGATCAATTTTCGAATTTTAAGCTTATCGAGAGCCTTTCTCTATGCCTTTGTGATGAATCACTGACCTAATTATAGAATCCAACAGCAAACAGCCAATCAGAATGCCGCGTTCGTGGGCGAACGCGGAAAGTACAAAATACCGGGCCTTGCTTGCAGGCCCACTATCAAGTTCCCTTCAGCCTGCTCCCTTGGGCCTGCACGCGGGCTAACTTTTTTTAAATTCCGACTTTTTTTTTCGAATTCCGACTTTTTTTTTAAAATTCCGACTTTTTTTTTCGAATTCCGACTTTTTTTTTAAATTCCGACTTTTTTTTTTAATTCCGACTTTTTTTTTCGAATTCCGACTTTTTTTTAAATTCCGACTTTTTTGTTTTAAAATTCCGACTTTTTTTAAAATTCCAACTTTTTTTTAAATTCCGACTTTTTTTTCGAATTCCGACTTTTTTTTTAAAATTCCGACTTTTTTTTCGAATTCCGACTTTTTTTTTAAATTCCGACTTTTTTTTTAATTCCGACTTTTTTTTTCGAATTCCGACTTCTTTTTTTAAATTCCGACTTTTTTAAAATTCCGACTTTTTTTAAATTCCGACTTTTTTTTTCGAATTCCGACTTTTTTTTTTAAATTCCGACTTTTTTAAAATTCCGACTTTTTTTTCAAATTCCGACTTCTTTTAATGTCAGAATGAGGGTTATTCTTTTTCAAAATCACACCAACATGGCCGTTCGTCTCTTATGTTGTGTTTGCGTACTCTATTTAATCATTATCACGACGACATGTTTCGCCGTTACTCTTCATGAATATCTACCACTTTCGGAACTAGGTGAAGGTTCCAGAGAGAGTTATATACAAAAATACTTCAATCTTGGCTTTCCTTATGAAGAAATTTTGGTGTTTCTTTCGAAGTTTCACGGAATTATACTCAGTCTTCGCCAGTTGAAACGACTACTCAAGACAATGGGGTTGCGACGCCGAAAGGTATGCAGTTCAGTGTACGAAGTTGTGTCTGAGGTAGAAAGGGAGTTACGTGGAAGTGGTAGTTCAATCGGGTACAGAGCAATGCACAAGAGATTGACGGTGGATTACAATCTAGTTACAGACAGGGAAACAGTCCGTCAGGTCCTAAAAATTGTAGATCCTGCAGGGGTTATATAATTCGTTATTCGTCTGACACTCAGGCTAGCAGGGGTTGAAAGGCGTTCGAAACACCGATTAAAGAGACGATCGTACAAAGTGAAAGGACCCAATTATATTTGGCACGTAGATGGCTATGATAAACTCAAGCCATTTGGCTTTTGTATACACGGTGCCCTGGATGGCTACAGCAGGCGAGTTCTGTGGTTAGAGGTTGGCCCTTCCAACAACGATCCAAAGGTAGTAGGACAATATTATATAGACTATATTCGTCAAATTGGTGGAGCTCCCCGCATAGTCCGTGCAGACTGTGGAACTGAAAATGTGCACATTGCCGCAATGCAACGATTCTTCAGGTCTTCAGCTGATGATGACTTTGCAGGGGACAAAAGTTTTATGTACGGAAAGTCAACATCCAATCAGAGAATCGAAGCGTGGTGGTCTCAGTTACGAAGAAGTTGCTCTGACTGGTGGATAAAATATTTCAAGGATCTCAGAGATTCAGGGGTTTACCGTGATGGGCAAATTATGGACGAGCAGTGCCTAAAGTTCTGCTATAATAACATCATCAAAAATGAACTATATAAAGTTGCCAGACACTGGAATATTCATTGCATAAGACCTAGCACCAACGCAGAGTGCCAGAGTCCCCCTCCGGTCGACCAGATACCTTGTATTTTCTTCCCGAGGTAAATGAAACCCGCGATTACAAAACGGGAGCAAGTGTTGCAGACATAGACGTTGCAGAAGAAATGTGCTGTATGCAAAATCCGCCAAACGGCTGCGAACCCGAGTTCAACGAATTAGCTGCAATTATAATGAGAGAAAATCGCCTACAAATGCCGACAACAGTAGATGAGGCAGAGCAGTTGTATGTGGAGTTATTACATCAAATTGAAAGCACGTGACATTAAAAAGAATTAAATAGTTACCCGGTGTTGCCCAGCCAAATAATTATCTACTCGATGATTAAGCCTAGTTTCCATTTGGTCGTTAGTTGTCGCTGGTACGACAAGCAGTAGATGTGAAATAGTCTAATACTAGAAGTTACTATCGCAAGGAAATTGCTGCCTCACCCCCAAGGGATAGCGCCATGCCCAATTTGCTGAATAAGGGACTGTTTATAAGATCCCGCTTTGCCAGGACGAGACATGAGGCGGGATGATTTCGATGTATTGAAATGAATCAGTGCACAATTCAGCCAAAAAATTTTCTAGAGATAGATAATTATAGTTAACTGTAAACGAAAGGTTGTTCAACTTGTTCAAGCAACAATAATAATCTTCTTGAACTACAAGATCTTCTCTACAATATTTGAGTTCTGGTGACAAGCATTTGAACTTTTGTTTAGCCGAGTGACTTATTCAAATACATCAAAAATTATCCCACCATGTAAACAGCCCTAAAGGCCATTTTTCACTACACTGTAGGCAAAATTTTCCGCACGGAGTGGAATTTGTCTTTGCCTTGTGATTTCTCAGGTGGAACTAATTAGAAATGACAAAGAGAAATTCCGCTCCACGCGGAAAATTCCCCCTAGTGGAAAACAGCCTTAAGACACCTGTTTAGGAATCAGGAGATAAGAAAAGTGCAATTTGAATATGAAACACAAGGTCAAAGGTCAGCTAAATATTCTAATTCTACTTTATTGGCATGAGCACTTTTATATGAATACCTTCAACACTTATAATAACTTCTTGCTTTTGTATGTATAATTGTAACACTGTCAGTGGTGAAGCTAGCCAAAGCAAACAGGTCATGCTATGCAAGTTTTTAATGATTTGCATTATTCAAATAGATGTAGGTTTATTGGGGTGGCATGACCGGTTGCCATGGTAGCTAGCTTGCCACTGAATACTGTACAAAATCATATTATATATAAACGATAATAATATTTGAATGAATCATTGGACATATAGAATTTAATAACAATTTCATATATAGAAATATTAAGTCAGTTCTTGTCTGAAGTATTGTTTTAATACAATAATGGCACCTTCTAGGATACCCTCTATTGCAAAACAACTGAAAAATCTTCTGATGCCTGATGGAGAGACAAAATCTATTTGTTGGCACTTTTGTTTCATATGTGAGCTTCTGATGACACCATTCACTTGTAATGATTAAGATTGTACTCAGTCAGAACTGCAAAACTATATAATCACAAGAAATTTTGAGCATAATAAAAAATATAGTATACTCTGAGTACTGTAGTGACACAGCGAGGTGAATATATAAATGTAGGCTGGTAGGATTATTTCATATTTATATGCTATAAACAATGGACATATCTCAGAGGTATATTTTTACAGACTGTCATACCTTTTACAAAAGTCGGTTGACATGTTAATAGATGTAACTGCTGGTAAGTTACTATATGCAGACAACAATCCACACCGGGTTGCTATAGGAATATATTTGTACTAGTCAGATAATTTTTCCTTCGTATACAATGTGTCATATTATAAATTGTGTGTTCCAAATAGTGAATTGATTTGTTTCAATGCCAATGGGTAAAATAATTCGACCAAAACTGTCATGCCTTTTACAATACATTTTAATAATACATATAACTGCTGGTATTAAGTTACTATGTGCAGACAACAATCCACACTGGGTTGCTATAGGAATATCTTTGTACAAGTCAGATAATTTTTCCTTCGTATACAATTGTGTCATAATTTGTGTGTTCCAATAGTGGATTCGTTCGTTTCAATGGGTAAAATAATTCAACCAAAACACATTGTTATTTGTGATCAAACTTTCATCTTACCTTGAAGAATATTTTCGATAAATAGCCAGACATAAAATTTGCAGCAAGCTGGAATCAAAATTTACAAAAGGCACGAGGCAACGTGTTATTTACAAATTGTTTACTGTATTAAATACTGTAGTCCGTGGTGGTGTTCGCGAGTCTCAGCCAGGGTGTTCGGAAAGTCAAATCGCGATCTGGAGTATGTTATTTAAATTTCTGTGACGTCAAAATACGTCATAAATCTGAAAATCCGTACACCTCTAACCTGAGTATCAGGCCGTACTTTTTAGGGCAAAGGCACGCCTGATCGTGGGCGAAGGGGAGAAAAGTACGGCCTGACACAAAAGTGGCATTTTGCCTGGTTGTTCAGTCCAGAATCTGGACTGAGCGCTGATTGGCCGATTAGACAAACGATTTTTAAATGTGTCATTTGATTGGCTGGTGCTAATTAGATTATACTATTGTTGTTGATATATTTTATAACGATCACAACTACAATTATAGCCGGCCCACTAAACGGCTGAATTTAAATTAAAACTGCAGTAAAATTATAAAATAATCGCAAATTAGCGAAATATATTGCAAATGTAGCTTATATTAAATCGCCATCAGATTGCACTATCGACTGACGTATAGTTATAAAGTATACTTTATAATTATACGTCAGTTTGTTGATAAATACGGCAAGCGCCATGTAAAGCTCATTGTAGTCACTGAAACCTCTGCGGAGGAGAGAGCAATCGGGTGGCGATTTAATATAAGCTACATTTGCAATATATTTCCCTAATTTGTGATTATTTTTGTTAATTTTATAAGTTCATTGCAGTTTTAATTTAAATTCAGCCGTTTAGTGGGCGCCTATGCTATAATTAGATTGTTGTTGTCGTTGTGTGAAATTTAAATTTCTCCTGCGACATTTTGATTGAATACTAAATATAAACTTTGCTGTGGGCGGAAAGCGATCAGGTTAAGTTTTGTGTCAGGCTCTATTTGTAAAATAGAGCCTGATACTCAGGTTAGTACACCTCCAAAATCGAGTTGTCGTTCGGCTATACATAACTCGGCCGGAAACGGACTGGTGCGAGAAAAACAAATCGTCAAGAATAGTGTGCTGCCTTCGGCAGCAATAATAATAGTATTTTGTGTGTTATATGCAAATCAGTCTTAATAATTGCAGAGTTTTATAAAGTTTTGTTGACAATCTATTACATCAGCCACTTGTCGTGCCAGCGACAACTAACGACCAAATGAAAACTAGGCTTAAAGTTGAGCTGCATGCGCAGTTAATGCTAAACATTAACATCGAATTCACATTCTAGTTTAAACATAATCATATCATTATAATACTAACAAGATGTAGAAGAACATGACCTTTAATTTTCTTCTTTAGCAAGTAGAATAATATAAATAATGCCCATGCATTATATGGCAGTATATGGTTTGGTCAATTAACCAACTCTTCACCTTGTTCTCCTCCTGCCCATGCGTTCTAATAATATATTGGTATCTAAATCCTACTAACATGAAAACACAACTCAAAGGACTTGCCAGATAGCAAGCCGTTATGAATTTTATTATGTATCCTAGGGGCGGACCATTAGGAAAGTAATGAGGGGGGGAGTTTGAAAAACAATTATAAGTTGAAATAAAAATTAATTCGTGCAAGAGACTATATTTAAAAAAATTGTCGACACAAGCAAAACATTTTAAAAAGTTAAAAAAGTCCCCCACCCCATCACTTTTTAATGGTCTACCCCTTATCATATTATGGTCTAGTGTCGATATCTTAAGCCGGATTTCCACTATACAGTCGCCGCGCCAATGATAGCCAAGAAGGCACAAAAAGGTGTTAAACGCACAAAAAGGTGTTAAACAAAAAGGAAAATTTTTCACCATGCATCGGCGGGCGAAATGCTGAAGTGGAAAACAGACTTACAGTTAAAGAAGTAAATGCATATAATTTGAGCAAGCACAACGAAAACGACCGAAGCAGTCTCCAAAATTGCTTTCGTTTTATCAAAATTTACACATTATATCAGATGGATTGCACTATAAATATTGATAAACATAAATGAAATACATTTCGTTGTTTGCTTCCACGTGGGAGCAAATAGTGCACATAGGTGACATGCAGTTTGGCTTAAAACGCAAAATAATTCAAGACAAAGCATCGGACATGAAGTCATTTTGGTACATTTTTCAGTTCCGTTAACTAGAGATATATGAACTACAAACTGCGTTGATTATAAGAGAACGCGACCACTTGTATGTATTGTAGTAAAAACCTATCACTAACTAGGCTATATGTGGCGGCAGATGGATTAAACTTTGCTCAGTTGCAAAACGTTGCTCCATTCAATTGTGAGAAACAAAACATAAACCCTGACATAAACCTATGGCGTTACCCTGGCTATTTTATAACATAACATAACATAACATCAACTGTGTATCTTTTTGACCCGTCTTTTGCGAAATG